ACGATAACATGGTGAAAAAAACCACTGATGTGTAAGAGCACTCCATTTGTTTTGTGAACTTGGAAAGATATGGAGGTGATGACTCACACAAAAGATTAAAATGTTGCCTAATTGGAACCTCCATGTCCAGAGACAATATATCAGATTCTGGGCACATCAGGTTGTGATTCTCTTTGCTTCTGCTTCCCAGAGCCCTCTGGCTGGCTGGCATTGCAAGGGGACAAGACAGAGATGGGTCTGATTTAGCAAAGTGAGACTTTGTGCGCCACCATTCATGTGCAGCCTCAGTCCCTATTGAACACCCATGGTTTTTATTACAAAATGCAAGTGGGGTGTGTGTGGACTGAGTATTGTAACGGAGTAGACATGTCATGATGGACTACAGGAATGATTCTGTGCAGCCATTTTTCTACTCTATGTCTCATGACACTTTATCCATCGCCCCTTTCCATTATATGCAGGTGTTAAAATGTCACAGTCCGCCAGGCATAGGCAGTTGAGAAGATCTGTGAGGCAGAAGCTCACTGTCCTCATTCATGGTGCCGCTCAGCTGTAGGAAGAGCGCTCCCTCTGTTACCTGAAACAATAACTGCATTGTTCTTGTTGCATGCCTTCCAGTTCTCTTGAGAACCCTACTGCAAATGAATGGATCATGCACTCTCTCTCCAAAGGTTTCCCCATTTCTGTGCACATCTCTTAGTTGGAGAACTACTTCACAACGATTCAGAGAAGTCCAAAATTCACATAGGTATTTTGGTTCTGGAGTTGTTCTGGGAGTTGCATGTTGGGTAGGTTTGCCTTTAAATGCAACCAACTCAAACTTCTTCTCCACTTCAAACCACAGGTTGGCAACCTGAGGCCCAAGGGGCTATAACCAGCCTATGGCCTACTTTTGGACACACAAATGGTTTGTCCCAGAGCTGCCTGCTCTTTCTAAGTTCCTTCTTTTGTCTTCATTCCCTCTGTATTTTCCCTACTTTGGAAAGCCTTTCCATTTGGCCCCAGAATGCTATAAGGGAACACTGACGAGGAGGTCTTCACAAAAAACAACAACTCTGGGCCATCCACTGATGTAACGAAGCACTGTTCTTTGACCTGGTGCTCTAAAGATGCTTTGAATTTGAGCTCCCATCAGCTCCAGCCATCAGCACAGCTGCAGTGCAGAACATGGGGAGGTTCAACATTTCTGGAGAAATATGTAGTGCAAAACAGCCATATTGGCTGGGGCTAATGAATGTTGGGGGGCTAAAACCAGCTGGACCAAGGCTGCAATGAAGCCGGAGGAACTTGAGCATGATGAGTTTTTGTTTCAGAACCTTAGCTAGCCGTATCACTGTGTAGCGTGAAAGACCCACTTGCAGAATTGTATGCACCACAGTAATAAACTGCCTCGTCTCCTGCCTGCACGTTGGTGATGTTTACAGGGTTAAACTGGAAGAACAGGCAACACAGAGGTTTACCCAAAATCAACAAGACCCAAATTGCACAATTTGTAAATAAGCATCCTGCAAAATACACACTTATTTAGCTCACACACATTCAGCTTTATGCTTGGCAAAAAGATTTTTTAAAAATGAAAAGGAGGGTGGAAACAGGGAGAAGGGAAAAGGGGGTCTGGGAAAAATGACTTTGGCAATGTGAGACTGTTAAGTTGTGGGCAAACATAGCAGACGACACAGCGATTTCTCCAGAGCAGCTCTTTATTTGTAAGCTGGGCAGAACTGAACAGCAAACAGCTCAGCCGGCCTGCTTTTATAGGCAGCCGGCTGTCAACATTGTAGCAACAACAACCCAGGGTTTCCTGCCTAAAATAACTGACGTGGACCTGAGTGAAAACTATCTACAGTATCCCCCTGCTGGCCCAGGGTGAGAACTTCAGTACATAACGCCCCTCCCCACCGAGATAAGGCGTTAGTTACAATCGTAATGATTTCCTTATATACAGCACCACACGTAATGGTTCAATTAGGCACAAAAGCATATCGGTTACATTTCCCATATTTAGACCAACAGTGATACATGTCCAACAACATAGTCCTTTAAATAAGTTGGGCGCTTGGAAACTCTGCCAGACCGCCGGGGACTGGTAGCCAAGTCCGGGGGGCCACACAATTCTTGCTGAGGCTGTGGTGCGACCCTAGGTGGCGTTGAAACCAAATCCCCTGGATCCGCTGCTGTGGGTGGAGCCTCCGCAAGTGGAGTGGTCTGAGTCTGTGGTAAGTCTGGCCGACCCTCTGAAGCGGCTTGGATCGGCTCCACGCTGGCAGTTTGCGAGGGAGGTGTAGGTGGAGCCTCGCCATCTTTAAGTGTCTCTTCTGGAGCCACGAGCGCAGTTGGGGGCACCACGGTACTGTCCAAGTCCCCAACCCTGCGCCTAAGCTGGTCTATGTGCCGGCGCCACAAGCGTCCGTCTTCGAGTGCCACCTGGTACGAGCGAGGTCCAGTGACTCCCACTACTGTGGCTGGCACCCAAGGAATGTCCCCCACATAGTTCCGGGCAAAGACCTGGTTTCCTGGAACAAATGACCGTGGCGCGTTGGCACAGCCTGGGGGTTCGGCCACGGCAAAGTCCGGGTGCAGCTGGTCGAGCGGTGACCTGAGGCGGCGGCCCATAAGCAGTTCAGCAGGACTCCACCCTGTGGCCGCATGAGGGGTGATGTGTTGCACGAACAAGTGTTACGCGACCCGCTCATGCCAGTCTCTGCGTTAGAGATGCAGTTGATGCCGGTGACTTCCAGGCCGAGGGCATCAAACCAGTCTAGCCCTAGGAGGCTTGGCCGCTGACCTTCTACCACCACCAGTCGGAGCAGGCCCGAAAAATCCTTGAAGGCGATCCGGAACTGGCCAACGCCTACCACGGGAATGTTATTTCCCTGGTAGTCTCTCAGGTGTACGCGGTGAGAGTCGAGTTGCCTTTTGGACACTCTGGGTACCAGTCTTTTGATGGTGCTCCAAGACACGATGGACAGGGCAGACCCGGTGTCAATCTCCATGTCACATGGAACTCCTTCAGTGAGCACCGTGACGTTCAGCTTGCGTCGTGTAGGCGAGTCGGTTTGGCCAATTGTGGTTCCAGACGGGCAGCGGCAGTTGGTGAGAGTGAAACAGCTTTCCTTGGCAGACTGAAGACTTGGACTTGCGAGTCGGTGAAGGGGGGGTGTCAGACGGAGCCGATCGGCAGACCTTAGCGATGTGGCCCCTTCTGGAACACTTCCAACAGATGGCGTCTCTGAATCGACACTTGGCACGGGAATGGTTGCCTCCGCAGCCGGCACATTCCAGTTGGCCCTTGGACTTCTGTTGGAACTTCCTGCGCTCCCGCTTTGTCTGGTGCACGTCATCGTCTTCACTGGAGGATGCCTCATCACTGCTGGCCTCTTCATGATGCACTGGAACTGGCTTCCTAGCAAGACGCGGGATGCTGGACTTGCGGATCTCCTGGGCGGAGTGTTCAGCAGCTTCTGAGGCTACAGCCTCCTCAGTGGCTTTCTGTAGCATGAGGTCTGGCTTGGCGAGGAGACGCCATTGCAGATGGATGTCCCGGACCCCGCAGACGATTCGATCCATCAGGGCATCGTCTAAGTCTCGGAACTCGCAGTGCATTGCAGCCTGTCGCAGGGCGGTGGTGTAGTTGTTGATTGACTCCCCCGCTGCCTGGTTCCGGTGGTAGAACGCATGGCGGGCAGCAATCTTGGACGGCTTTGGTGCGTAGTGGTTGCGGAGCTTCTCTTGGATCGTGTCCCACAGTGTTGCCTGGACTGCTTCAGGCACAACCAATGCTCGGGCCGTCTCAAACACCTCAGGCCCACAGAGGCTGAGGAATAGGCCCCGCTTACGCTCCTGTGATACTTGCGTCAGCTCGTTGGCTTGGAGGTAGCAGTCGAACCGAGCGAGGTAGGAGTCCCATGATTCAGAGGCTGGCGCAAACGGCGGTAGAGGCACAAGTGAAGCCATGATTCCGATGCCGGCGTGAAGGGCGATGGATGGAACACCGTGCTCTAGCCAGAACAGTCAGCTCTGAATTGGTTCTGTTCAGTGATTTCGCTCAGTGATTCAGCTCTGCTCAGAGGGTGGCTACATCTGGCTGTGCTCTGATGTCCATCGATCCCACCTTCGTCGCCAGGGTTAAGTTGTGGGCGAACATAGCAGACGACACAGCGATTTCTCCAGAGCAGCTCTTTATTTGTAAGCTGGACAGAACTGAACAGCAAACAGCTCAGCCGGCCTGCTTTTATTTCTTTTTATAAGATATTTATTAGGATTTTCAAAATATTACAAAATAGAAAAAGAAAAAAGAAAAATACAAAAAAAAAAAAAATAGTTAAAAACAATTCAGTCTTTCAATCACTTATCTTTCATTTGCTTGTTTCCCAGACCCCCTCATACCTCCCTTTTTTGTATTCCAGTTCAGTTTGTTGGTTCAGCAAATCCTTACAGCTTTACTTGTGTCCCAGATTACTCTTTTTTCTACATTAGTATTCATATTTATTTCAAAATAGTCTCTCAAGGTTTTTGGGGCCTTTTTATAAACCTCTTCATCTCTAAATAGGGTTTCATTCATCCTCCATCTGAAGGAGCCAGTTGATGTTAGTTTCAACTCCATCCTTACCGCATTATGGTCGGAGCAGGTTTTTGGGCAGATTTCCACTTTCTTTATCTTTGGTGCCATTCCTCTAGTTACCCATATTTGGTCAATTCTAGTCCATGTCATTTTAGCTTCAGAAAAGAAGGTTCCCTCTCTTCCCAAGTGGTTCTTTGTTCTCCAAGTGTCCACTAAATCAAAATTGTCTATCATCTCAAAAAAATGTTTTCGGTAGTCTACCATCCTTGGTAACTACCTGTCTCTGTGCCTTATCCATGTTTGTAGATACTACTCCATTCATGTCCCCCATCAAAATCAGATTGTAATCCAAATAATCCAATAAGGTCTCATGCAACTTTTTAAAGAATTCAGATTTCCCTCATTCGGTGCATAAATTCCTACTATCAAAAATTTCTCTCCTTGAATTTGAATTTCAATTGCCAAAAATCTTCCTTGGTCATCTTTAAAAATTAATTTCGGTGATAGTCTCTCCTTTGCATATATCACAACTCCTCTTTTTTTGACTTTGCCAGATGAGATAAACTCCTGTCCCAGTCTCTTATTAATCAGTAGTTTCCTGTGTAGCCTTGTTACATGTGTTTCTTGTAGACAAATCAAATCCAATTGTTCCTTTTTTAGTAAATGAAAAACACTTTTTCTCTTTCGAGGAGAGTTCAAACCATTACAATTCCAGCTTTTATAGGCAGCCGGCTGTCAACATTGTAGCAACAACAACCCAGGGTTTCCTGCCTAAAATAACTGACGTGGACCTGAGTGAAAAATATCTACAGTATCCCCCTGCTGGCCCAGGGTGAGAACTTCAGTACATAAGAGAGACCATCAATAGAGAGAAAAGGGAAGCACTTTTGAGTCAGGTTCCCCTTCTGGTTTTATCACTGTGTGACTTGTCTCCATCCCCAGCAGCACAGTAATAGTCAGCCTCATCCTCTGACTTCACATTGGTGATGGTTAAATAGGCCACTTCCTTCGGGGCATCATTGGAAGGAGAGAAGCGGCTGGAGAACTCCGGTCCAAAATCTGTCTTGTCTTCTTCTATGTTCCGCACCAGGATAAAACTTGGGCTATTTCCTGCTTTGTGTTGATACCAATCGAAACCTCCAAACTCGTAGTCACTGCTGATTGTGCAAGAGATTTGAACTGTACCTTCCAGGGATGCAGACTGAGTAGCCAACTGCGTCAGGGTGAACTGGGCGAAGGACCCTGCAGAGGTGAGAAATGGAGATTTGTGAAGCAAGCAATAAGTGTTTGTTTGCTGTAACGCTAGTAAACCAATGAATCTGACCAGAATAATGTGGAAGGGGAACAATTTAGTTGTCTAGCATCTGCTTTCTGCATACTGACAGTGCCAGGCACGGCACAGAACAGAAACTCTGCCAGTCAGTGCAGGCAACCCTAAGCTCAATAAACCAATATTCCACCAAATATGAGATAGCTTCCTTCCTTCCTCTGTAGAGGACAAGAGCATGAAGGAAAGATTTTCTTCACCTGAGCAGCAAGTAAAGAAGGTGAAAAGGAGCAAGGGCCACTCCATCCTGTCTGTGCTGTCCCGGGTCCTGAGGTCAAGGGGTGCCCATTGCTATTCTCCAACGCTCGCTCCCTCTCAAATACCCAGAATGGGTCTCTCATGCAAATCTGCTGGCTCTTCCTCATTGGCTAGAATCTAGAATGAATTTGCAGAAGGTCTCCGTATCTACATATAAGTGTCTCCTGCAACCAAACATTGCATGGCCACCCCAATAACTCACACATCACACAGGAATTTTTGTTTAAGGTTTTGGGCATGATTTTGGCCACAACTTTATTAAAATACAACAATGTGAGTGGTTGCTTAGGCATTGGTTGCGACTATCTGCCCCCCCCCCATGGGACTGACATACCGCACGGCTGTGAAAGTCAGAAAAGGGGAATACACTTGGGGGTAGCGACGGAGCAGGGAACCTGCCCTCAACACTCCCCTAATGCAACCAGGGGCTTTTGCATGGCCCAAGCCCCTTGCTAGGGTGGACAAAAGCAATAGTGAGCCCCTGATTCCTCTAACGGAATCCCTCGCAGCAGCAGCAGCATTAGAGGGGCAGGCACAGCCAATCCATGCCCCTCAACCAACCAAGCCATAAACAAATACCTAACCGCAACCTTACAAAGTGTGACGATTTGCTACGCAGTAGGCAAAAACCAAATGGCCCCAGCCAATCAGCCAGATGGACAAAATTCCTACCGGGCCCCTGCCCCAAGAGCAGACGACCCCATGACAGGCATACAAAGGTCAAAGCGAACAACCCTAAATATAGGGAGGGGGGGACGGGCAATCTGATGCACGGGCAAAAAGAGGAAGGTCTAGCCTCGTGCAAGGAGTTTTAGCATTTCTGGCTGTCAATCAACAAATGGTAACATTAACTTCTTCCCAACGACAAGGGAAGCCCAATCACACCAGTGGCCAACGATCAATTAGCCCGCCCCACAACTTTGGAGTGTCCTGTCGGCCCACACTGCAACACGTGCTCTCCATGAAGGAGAACACGCTTTGCAGCATGGAGGGCTTCTCTTCAGAGTGTGAGCCAGCCACGCCTTTTTAGAGGCATATCTGTTTCGTTCTGCTCGCTGCTTCTTTTCTTTTTCTTTCTTTCTAATGAATTTATTAAATTTTCTGTTTTACAATTTAAAGTACTCAGTTTCACATCCTTTAGATATCCATGACTTCCCGTCTCCTCTTTCCATGGTTGATTTTACGTATCATAAACCCCTGAACATTTTACAAAAAGCATACCATTCAGTATTCCCTTATTGCATCCATCAAAACTTATTTACACTGTTGAATTGATCTTAATGCTGCCAGCGTTTTCAGTTGTACACAGTTATGTCCCATATATATACAGTAAATGTTTTCCAATCTTCTCTAAATGTATGTTCTTCTTGTTCTCTTATGCTAAGTCTGTAAGCTGCGCATGTTCCATCAGTTCCAGTTGCCATTTGTCTTTAGTTGGGACCCAGAACCTTAATTCTTCATCTTGAAGTTTTCAGAATCCACAAGGATTGTGGTACTTTTCTAAAACATGGCCTAAATCCATGTGGATCGTAAGAGCTGAAAGGCAAGACCATCCATTGAGGCAGGATGTACGGGATGCAGGGCCAGTACAAAGTCCCAGTCCCATGCAAAGGAAAATGCCAGTGGATAGTTGATCTGTGAGTGAACAGGAAGCGTCTGACAGTGTTGCTCATGTCTGCCAAACGTGCTTCTGCTTCACTTCACAGCAGAGCAGCAGGGTGTACAGGTGGTGTCTGATATAATAGATTTCTGCAATAATTGGGGGACAAAGGGCTGATATCTCCCCCTACAGGGAAAAGCTGGGATAACAGGCAACATAGAGGTTTACCAAAAATCAACAAGACCCAAACTGCACAATTTGTAAGTAAGCATCCCGCAAGAAACACACATATTTAGCTCTCACACATTCAGCTTTATGCTTGGCAAAAAGATTTTGTTTAAAATGAAAAGGAGGGTGGAAATGCGGAGAAGGGAAAAGGGAGTCTGGGAAAAATGACTTTGGCAATGTGAGACCATCAACAGAGAGAAAAGGGAAGCACTTTTGAGTCAGGTTCCCCTTCTGGTTTTATCACTGTGTGACTTGCCTCCAGCTACAGCAAGACAGTAATAGTCAGCCTCATCATTTGCCTGCACGTTGGTGATGGTTAAATTGGCCACTTTCTTTGAGGCATCATTGGAAGGAGAGAAGCGGCTAGAGAATTCTGGTCCAAAATCTGTCTTGTCTTTTACTATGTTCCGCCACAGGATAAAATTCGGGCTCTTTCCATCTTTTTGTTGATACGAACCGAAAGCTCGAAAGTGGTAGCCACTGCTGATTGTGCAAGAGATTTGAACTGTACCTTCGAGGGATGCAGACTGAGTAGCCGATTGCGCCAGGGTGAACTGGGCGAAGGACCCTGCAGAGGTGAGAAATGGAGATTTGTGAAGGAAGCAATAAGTGTTTGTTTGCTGCAACACAAGTAAACCAATGAATCAGACCAGAATAATGTGGAAGGGGCACAATTTAGTTGTCTAGCATCTGCTTTCTGTATACTGACAGCGCCAGGCGCGGCACAGAACAGAAACTCTGCCAGTCAGTGCAGGCAACCCTAAGCTCAATAGACCAATATTCCACCAAATATGAGATAGCTGCCTTCCTTCCTCTGTAGAGGACAAGAGCATGAAGGAAAGGTTTTCTTCACCTGAGCAGCAAGTAAAGAAGGTGAAAAGGAGCAAGGGCCACTCCATCCTGTCTGTGCTGTCCCGGGTCCTGAGGTCAAGGGGTGCCCATTGCTATTCTCCAGCGCTCACTCCCTCTGAAATACCCAGAATGAGTCTCTCATGCAAATCTGCTGGCTCTTCCTCATTGGCTAGAAGCTAGAGTGAATTTGCAGAAGGTCTCCGTATCTACATATAAGTGTCTCCTGCAACCAAACATTGTGTGTCGAGGTCCCCAGGGCCACCCCAATAACTCACACACCACACAGGAATTTTTGTTTAAGGTTTAGGGCATAATTTTGGCCACAACTTTATCCAAATACAACAATGTGAGTGGTTGCTTAGGCATTAGTTGCGACTATCTGCCCCCCCCATGGGGGACAGACTGACATTCCGCACGGCTGTGAAAGTCAGAAAAGGGGAATACATTTGGGGGTAGCGACGGAGCAGGGAACCTGCCCTCAGCCCTCCCCAAATGCAACCAGGGGCTTTTGCATGGCCCAAGCCCCTTGCTAGGGTGGACAAAAGCAATAGTGAGCCCCTGATTCCTCTAACGGAATCCCTCGCAGCAGCAGCAGCATTAGAGGGGCAGGCACAGCCAATCCATGCCCCTCAACCAACCAAGCCATAAACAAATACCTAACCGCAACCTTACAAATTGTGACGATTTGCTACACAGTAGGCAAAAACCAAATGGCCCCAGCCAATCAGCCAGATGGACAAAATTCCTACCGGGCCCCTGCCCCAAGAGCAGACGACCCCATGACAGGCATAGCAAGGTCAAAGCGAACAACCCTAAATATAGGGAGGGGGGACGGGCAATCTGATGCACGGGCAAAAAGAGGAAGGTCTAGCCTTGTGCAAGGAGTTTTAGCATTTCTGGCTGTCAATCAACAAATGGCAACATTTACTTCATTCCAACGACAAGGGAAGCCCAATCACACCAGTGGCCAACGATCAATTAGCCCGCCCCACAACTTTGGAGTGTCCTGTCGGCCCCCACCGCAACACATGCTCTCCATGAAGGAGAACACGCTTTGCAGCATGGAGGGCTTCTCTTCAGAGTGTGAGCCAGCCACGCCTTTTTAGAGGCATTTCTGTTTTGTTCTGCTCGCTGCTTCTTTTCTTTTTCTTTCATTCTAATGAATTTCTTAAATTTTCTGTTTTACAATTTAAAGTACTCAGTTTCACATCCTTTAGATATCCATGACTTCCCGTCTTCTCCTTCCATGGTTGATTTTACGTATCATAAACCCCTGCATATTTTACGAAAAGCATACCATTCAGTATTCCCATACTCCATCCATCAAAACTTATTTACACTGTTGAATTTATTTTAATGCTGCCAGTGTTTTCAGCTATACACAGTTATGTCCCATATATACAGTAAATGTTTCCCAATCTTCTCTAAACGTAGGTTCTTCTTGTTCTCTTATTCTATATGCTAAGACTGCAAGCTGCGCATATTCCATCAGTTTCAGTTGCCATTTGTCTTTAGTTGGGACCCAGAACCTTAATTCTTCATCTTGAAGTTTTCAGAATCCACAGTGATTGTGGTACTTTTCTAAAACATGGTCTAAATCCATGTGGATCGTAAGAGCTGAAAGGCAAGACCATCCATTGAGGCAGGATGTACAGGAGGCAGGGCCAGTACAAAGTCCCAGTCCCATGCAGAGGAAAATGCCAATGGGTAGTTGATCTCTGAGTGAAGAGGAAGCCTCTGACAGAGTTGCTCACGTCTGCCAAACGTGCTTCTGCTTCACTTCACAGCAGAGTATCAGGGTGTACAGGTGGTGTCTGATGTAATAGATTTCTGCAAAAATTGGGAGAGAAAGGGCTGGCATCTCCCCCTACAGGGGAAAGCAGGGATTACAGGCAACAGAGAGGTTTACCAAAAATCAACAAGACACAGATTGCACAATTTGTAAGTAAGCATTCCGTAAGAAACACATATTTAGCTCTCACACATTCAGCTTTATGCTTGGCAAAAAGATTTTTTTTTAAATGAAAAGGAGGGTGGAAATGCGGAGAAGGGAAAAGGGAGTTTGGGAAAAATGACTTTGGCAATGTGAGACCATCAAAAGAGAGAAAAGGGAAGCACTTTTGAGTCAGGTTCCCCTTCTGGTTTTATCACTGTGTGACTTGCCTCCAGCTCCAGCAAGACAGTAATAGTCAGCCTCATCATTTGCCTGCACGTTGGTGATGGTTAAATAGGCCACTTTTTTAGGTGCATCATTGGAAGGAGAGAAGCGGCTGGAGAACTCCGGTCCAAAATATGTCTTGTCTTCGTTTATGCTCTGCAACAGGATAAAATTCGGGCTCCTTCCTGCTTTTTGTTGATACCAGCCAAAGCCTCCAAAGCTGGAACTAATTGTGCAGGAGAGTTGGGCTGTACCTGCCAGTGAAGCTGATGCTGCGGGAGGCTGAGTCAGGGTGAACTGAGAGAGAGCCCCTGCGAGACAAGTAAAAAGGAGAAAGAAGATTGAATGAGAGATGAATTCCATGCATTGCAAAGTTAACCAAAGGTAGTAGCGAGTGAGTGGATGGAGGACTGAGGAAAGTGGGAGAGAAGTGTTTGGTCTCCACCTGAGCAGCAAGTGAGGAGAAGGAACAGAGACAGAAGCATCGTGGTAGCAGATCCAAATCAAGCTGCTCTGACTCAGGAAGCGAGGATTCGGGTTGAGCTCATTCCCCACATTTGATGTTCAACCTCTTGTTGGAGCATGCATGCAAATATACTTCCTCCTCATTGGTCAGGGAGGGACCGACATTCATCCACAGTCTTTGGTTAGAAGAATTAAAGCTGCCCATTGAGGCATCTTTTGGCCCCTGTGAGAACAGGATGATGGACTAGATGAGTCTTTAGTCTGATCCAGCAGGCTGCGGGAGAGCAATCCTGAAGCCATTTTGACTCTCCCAATAACCTCAAATATTCTTCTGCAGCAAGGGAGGCAATTGGGGAAAGGCTTCCTGCTGTATTTTTGCTTGCAAATCCTGTCTTAAAGGGCATATTTGTGTATGAATAGAGTGAGCCTGTGAGCTGGATTCAGGAACTAAAGCATTAACTATCACACGATTCTATTATTCTACTTAGCGTGCGATGGGGGGAGTGTGTGAAACATACGTTGTAGATATTTCCCCCACATTTATTATGCTTTTTGTGTTATACATGAGAAAACTTGGTATACTTATTTGTATAACATTCTTGTTTATAAAACACACGCACACACAAAAAACTCTCACATGATTCTCAGGTATCCTGGCAGACAGGATTTCTGCTGTTGACCCGCCTTCTACGATGTATGTATGATGATTTTGGGGTGGTCTTTGGCTAAGGGGGTTGGGCAATATCAAAAGTCTTTAAAGGTTCCTGCACACTTTTGTTCAGGGTCTCTCCCTCCTTGGAAAAATAAACAGCAAAATAAATACCACTCTTCCCTTCCACTGGATCCAGCCTCCATCCATTCTTCTCTGACTGATCATGGACTTAGGGGACTCAGAGTCCTGTGGGGAGTTGGGCAGCAAAAGCCAAACCCCCATGATTTACATCAGAAGGATGCAGGTGTCACGATTTCACAGTCTGCCGGACAGAGACAGTTGACAATCATGCAAGGCAGAACGTCACCGTTGTCATACTTGGTGCAGTGCAGTAGTAAGGAAGGGAGCTCCCTCTGGTGCCAGAACCTATAACTGCATTCAACATATCACCTCTTGCTTCCTATCCTTCTGCAAACCTCCTGGGCAGTGCAGACAGATAAAAGACACTGCAAGTACCGTAAATAAACTGATAACTCCTTGTCTTCCTCCCCTTTTCAAATCACATTAAGACTTTGAGCGTTCTTGGCAAAAACAGGAGCACACTGTTGCCCTTTTATTCCTTTATTCACCTGTTAATGATTTTATTTCTGATTTTTTATTTCATACATTTCAATAATTTTATAATCATTTTAACATTTATGACTTCCTTTCCCCTCTTTCTGCTTAGTGTTAAGGTTTTAGTCTCATTATAAGTTATTGTAAGTTTAAGTTTAAGTCTGCTGCAACTGGATTTCTTATGGACAGTGCCAATCCTGAATGCATTGGATTTGTGACCATTATGCTCATTTGCTTTCAATAGCAGTAAAGCTCTGCTGGATGAAATACAATTGCCTCTGGTCTATTTGGGGGGGATCCTACAACGTGTTTAAGTTGTTACTCTGCTTACTATACATTGGAATCTACTCTGGATCAACACTAAGCAGGATTCCATGACACTTCCATCAGTCCCAGGCTGCCTAGCTGTGGCCCAAGAAATGTGGAGGCTCAGAACAACTGGAGAAATTTGCAGTCACAAGTCTGGGGTGAGTGAAAGTCAGGGGCTCAAAGGAGCATGGCACAGCCTGAAATGGAGCCTGAGGGGTTGAGGGTGAAGAGTTTTTGTTTCAGTTTCTCCGCTAGCTGCATCACAGTGAAACATGCTGCTTTTGCCGTGGTACGCAGCACAGTAATAAACTGCCTCGTCCCCTGCCTGCACATTGGTGATGGTTACAAAGGCCACTTTCCCCGGGACATCATTGGAAGGAGAGAAGCGGCTGGAGAACTCCGGTCCAAAATCTGTCTTGCTTTCGTTTATGTTCCGCCTCAAAATGAATTTGGGGCTATCTCCTCCTTTTTGCTGATACCAGTGAAAATAAGTAAAGAAGGAATTTGTAATTGTGCAGGAGAGTTTAACTGTACCTGCCAGGGAAGCTGATGCCGAAACTGGTTGAGTCAGAATGAACTGAGAGAGAGCCCCTGCAGGAGATGAGAAAGGGGGACCAAAAAAAAAAAATCAAATTAAATGTGAATTATTATTATTTGGATAGTGCCCTTCATTTGTAGATCTCATGGCGGTTCACAACATAAAATTACAACTTAAAAACCACAATAAAGACAAGAACAACAGACCCCACAAACCAATAACCCTCCCACTGCACAAACACATTTAAAAGGGCATAGGATGTTAATAATCCCAAGGCCTGGCAGAAGAAGAACATTTTCATCTGGCATCTAAATATATATTTGGAAGGCGGCAGACAAACCTTCCTGATGAGAGCATTCAACATGTATTGCAAAGCTGACTGAAGGTAGCAGTGAGTGAGTAGAATAAGCATCCATCAGGGATGGAGGACAGAGAAAAGGGGGAGAGACTCATTTTGTCTTCACCTGAGCAGCAAGTGAAGAGAAGGAACAGAGTTTGGACCCTCATGGTAGCCGATCCAAACCAATCTGCTTTTCCTTAGTGAAAGGGAATATGGGTTGCTCTTACTGCCCTCGTTCGACCTTAAAACCCTTGCCAGAGCTTGCATGTAAATATCCTTCCTCCGCATTGGTCAGAGACCGCAGTCTTTGATTAGAAGAGTTAAGCATATTCACCTTGTACACAGGCTTGCTTGAGAGTTTCTAGCACAGTACAGTTGTACCTTGGAAGCTGAACGCCTTGGCACTCGAACATTTTGGCTCCCGAATGCCGCAAATCTGGAAGTGAGTGTTCCGGTTTGCAAACGTTCTTTTGGAACCCGAACATCCGGCACGGCTTGTGTGGCTTACAATTGAGTGCAGGAACCTCCTGCAGCCGATCGGAAGCCGCGCCTTGGTTTCTGAACGTTTTGGAAGCTGAACAGGCTTCCAAGGTATGACTGTACGTTATTATTGCTAAACAACCGGCAGGCACAATATTAACTAGACTGTCAAGATGTGGGGTTTTTTTGGGGGGTGGGGAGTAGGGGAACTGCTGCAGTTGTGAAAATAGTACACAGCAATGAATTATATTTGGGGAGAATGTGCCTGCAAAAATGTGCATAGAAGACAAAATTGCAAATAACAATGCCTGTTTTAGGAAAAATACACACAAAAATGCAGCGAGTGTCCACGAGGGCTTAAGAAAAAATCAAATTGATGCAGAAAATTTGGAGAACTGAACTGTTCACCCCTAGTTATGGGCAAATAAGTAGCTACAGCAGACAACAGGCAACTTTCATGTTAATTCCCAAAGGTCTTTTTTAAGTGGAGTTCCTTCCCATGTTCAGCTTTGACTCACCAAGGGGTGAGAAGCCAAATGATGTGTACTCAGGGATGAATGAAGCAGCGGAATTAAGTGAATTATAAATGTAGGGAGGCTTTAGCTATCAAGAACTACTAGCATATTTTAAAAACATTGTTACGCACTATATTGCATGCAAATGACAGCATGCTTTCAAAGCATGAGTGATTAGGAAGCCCTGGAGGAAGTAACTTATTTTCCCCAAAAAACATTTTCTTGCTTCATTTCGCCATACAGATGCAAGGGGATGGGGTGATCTCTGCAGTTAACAAATTCTGCCAAAGGAGGAGTAAAAAAGGAAGAAGAGATCAGCAGCACCATCTACAGGATAAAATTACGACATCTTGCTGCTTGTGTAAAATAAGTTTTCAAAGAGTGCTGTGCTGAAACTGGTCTTCTAATTTAGCAAGCCTTTTCTTCAGCTGCAAAATAAGCTTCTGTCTTTCTGACTCTTTCGTGGAGTGCTTTAGAATTCCTATAAAATTCAGGGATTTGAGCTTAAATCATTGTTGCAAAGAAGCTGCAGGTAATTGGGTAGCTGCTTTATTTTTTATATCTTGCCTGTTGGAGAAATGTCGTTTCTCTGAGCAATCTCCACCCCCGTTCTCTCCTCAATCATCAATAGCACCCCCAACCTTACGGTGGCCGCTTAGGGCCATTTGCCTCTGAGTCCTTTGCTCTCCTACTTTCATTGCTTCCGTGCTTTCTATGCATGGGTCCAAGCGGTTTTGACCTTGTGCCACCACTTCCCTCCAGAAAACCCACTATTTAGTGATAAACTGGAGTGAAATGAAAACCTGATTGTTGTCTGTTCTGATTCAGGGCTAAAAAGCAGGTTTTCCCAGGGGAAAAGCAGCAGGAGAAATAGAAGGGTGGATGAGTTCTACCCTGTACTGCATGAAGAAGGCCTAAGACAGGCATTGTTATTTGCAATTTTTTCTTCTATGCACATTTTTGCAGGCACCTTCTCCCTAAATATAATTCATTGCTGTGTACTATTTTCACAACTGCAGCAGTTATCCTATTCCCCCACTAAAAAAACCACATCTTGACAGTCTAGTTAATATTGTGCCTGCCAGTTGTTTAGCAATAATAATGTACAGTCATACCCTGAAAGCCTGTTCAACTTGCAAAATGTTCGGAAACCAAGATGTGGCTTCCGATTGGTGAATATGCTTAACTCTTATAATCAAAGACTGCTGTCTCTGACCAATGCGGAGGAAGGATATTTGCATGCAAGCTCTGGCAAGGGTTTTAAGATTGAAGGAGGGCAGTAAGACCAACCCATATTCCCTTTCACTGAAGAAAAGCAGATTGGTTTGGATCTGCTACCATGAGGGTCCAAACTCTGCTTCTTCTCTTCACTTGCTGCTCAGGTGAAGACAAAATGAGTCTCTTCTGTTAGGATATTTCCGTTCCACCTTAAAAGGGAGCAGGCTTTGTGAGTCAGAGTCTGCGTATTTCCTGTTCACAGGATGTTTATATTTTCTGTTGCTTTCGTTTCTCTCTCTGTGTCGTACACACTAAAGCAGGCAGTCATGTTTTTCTGTGTTCTGATCAACGCTGAATAAACTTGTAAATAATGCTCTCCTGAGTGCAACTTTTGGCTGTGCATTAT